CCCACTGCCCCCTCCCCTCCCCCCAGGTGGTCTCGCTGGGCCTATACTTCGGTGAGCAGGCGTATTTGCGCAGCAGCTGGAACGTGCTGGACGGCTTCCTCGTTTTCGTGTCCATCATCGACATCGTGGTGTCGGTGGCCTCTGCTGGGGGAGCCAAGATCCTGGGGGTCCTCCGGGTCCTACGGCTCCTGCGCACCCTCCGCCCCCTGCGGTGAGGACCCCTTTTTAGTGGATGAGAGTATCGCTGCGCTGTCCAGGGAAGCCACTGGGGTCTGCCGGTTCAGTCCTCCCTAACAACTGCCTGGCTCGGTGGCCCTGCTCTGGGGGATGCAGAAAGACAGTGCTAAAGGGGCATCATCCGTGATGCGGGCCATTCCCTGGTGTCCCCGGGTGGTTCTGTGCCCTCTCTGAGTATTGGTCGCTAGGCCACTGCATGGCAGGGACCTCAAGGGGACTGGAAGTGGTGAGTCCTGGCTGAAGCCCGAGGTGCCTGGCCTCTGTCTCTAATCCCCCGAGGCTGTCCTATGTCCCAGAGGGCTGGGCCCTGGTGACTCTGGGCTGAGCCTGGGCCATCTCCAGGCCTGGCCGCTGGCTCATGCTATCCTGGTCCTTGCCTGCAGCGTCATCAGCCGGGCGCCTGGCCTGAAGCTGGTGGTGGAGACCCTCATCTCCTCTCTCAAGCCCATTGGCAACATTGTCCTCATCTGCTGTGCCTTCTTCATCATCTTTGGCATCCTGGGGGTGCAGGTGAGGGCGCCCAGGCTGGGCAGGGGAGAGACTCACACTCCTGCTCACCCCTGCCCTGGAGCGAGCTGACCTGAGCGGTCCTGGGAGCAGCATGGCTGGGCTCCCTGCCTGAGCCCAAGTGGCTGAGCACCCGGCAGATGGGTATGTGTAATCTGAGGGGCAGGACTTCGTCCCCCACCCTGGGAGCACTGACCTCACCCCCTTCCTGTAGCTCTTCAAGGGCAAGTTCTACCACTGCCTGGGCGTGGACACCCGCAACATCACCAACCGCTCCGACTGCGTGGCTGCCAACTATCGCTGGGTCCACCACAAGTACAACTTCGACAACCTGGGCCAGGTGGGTGCTGCCTGCCTGCCCGCCTGCCCCGCCCTGCAGGAGGGGCAGCAGCTCTTCATGCCATGGCCCTGGCATCGCTGCACTGCCAGACTGACCCGTGACTTCTCCTCAAGCCTTGCTCGCTTGTATGCAGGAGGGGGTGGGGGCCCGCATGCATCTCGCAGGTGGTCAGAGGCCAAGTGGTCCCATGTGCCGTGCCCCACAAATGCCTGGTGCTTAGTGGGTGCTTCAGGAAACAAGGCCCCGCTCTCACCCAGCGGACACTGGCAGGAGTTCAGAGTCAACTGCACCCGGGCATGAATCCCAGCACTGCCCTCACTGGACGTGGGGCTCTCTGCACCTCAGTTTCCTCATCCTCAGCTCGGGGCCGGCTTTCTCTGCTGTCGCCCTCCTCTCTGCCATCACCCCACCTCTCCACCATCACCCCTCCTCTTCGTCATCACTTCGCCTCTCCGCTGTCCACTCTGGCCAGCAAGCAGGCCCCTGCCTGGTTCCACTTTGCCCTTGGCCAGGCTTGCTTCATCCGGCAGTGTCCGGTGAGAGCCCTCGGTCAGCTGCCTCCAAAGAGCCTTCCTGCAGAGCTGCCCCTGCTCCCCAAGGGCCCTCTCAAGTGACCACACAGGTCCAGAGAGGGGTGCCTTGTCCCAGGGCCACATAGAGAGGGAGCAGGAGCCAGGTCCCCCAACTGTGTAGCTTCCAGCAGATCCCAGTGAAGCTGTCACCCCACCTGACCAGGGACATCCCCTACATACCACCTGGCAGGGGAACCTTGGAGAAGCAGTGAGTGTCCAGGGCTGGCAGTCAGGAACCAAGACAGTGGGCCCCAGCCCCCACATTCTTCAGTGTGTTGTCGTTTTTGTCAGCTCTGTGGTGGGTAAATCAGTGGGGATGAAAGGGCACAGGAAGCCAGGGGAAGCAGGGGGCTTTTGTGAGCGGTCTCCTGGGCAGTTCACCATCTCTGCCCCGCTGGAGCATCCAGCCCTTTTCCCTCCACATAGACTTGAGGCCAGGCTGGCTCCCCTGGGGTCCCAAGGGGTATTCCCAGCATGCAGGGCCATGTGGAAGTCACAGCATGGCCCATGCCTTCGACCCCTGGGATGGGAAGCACTTGTCAGCTGTAACCTCAGGGAAGTGGAAGTTCCAGACGCTGTGCTGCAGTGTCCTCATCCATCATCGGGGTGGTGATGGCAGGCCCTCGGGTGTAGGGGCTCCATGTACCTCCCTGGCCGGGGAAGCCCTCTCTGAACATGAGAGAGGGAGGGGCCAGTGCATAGTAGGTCCTCAGACAGGCTTATCGGTGGAGGCACAGGTCTGCCTCGCAGGGAAGGCCTCTGCTCCTCTGGCTCCCCAAGGTGGAAGAATGTAGACTGAGGAGGGAGCAGAGGCTGCCAGAGCTGCCTGCACCTCTCACCTCTGCACTGTCCCCTCCCTGTGTCTCCCAGGCCCTGATGTCCCTCTTTGTCCTGGCCTCCAAGGACGGCTGGGTGAACATCATGTACAACGGGCTGGATGCCGTCGCTGTGGACCAGCAGGTGGGCATATCTGGGCCCAGGCCAGGCCTGACTCGGGGAGGGACATGATGTCTTTGGGACCCAGTGGTCTGAAACTGGTGCCAGAGAGACCCGCGGCCCCAGTGTCTTCCTGCTGTCAGCCACAGCCGGCACCTCACACCCTGGCCTTGGGATTCACCTCAAGGCCTCCTTGGGTAGTTTGATCACTGTTCCATTTGCTTCTGCAAACCCCTGCTGTACAGGAGAAGGATTCCTGCTCGCTCCTGCCTGGATGGAGCTCAATGGGTGGAGAACCAAGTGCAGGGGAGGGCCGAGCCAGCTAGCAGGGGGACGTGAGTGCAGGCCTGCAGTGAGAGAGCGATATGTCCAAGGAGTCATGAGTGGGGCCAGGAGCAGAAAGTGAGGAGAGTGGCCGGAGGTTGGCGGGGGAGGCAGGACTGCACAGTCAGTGAGGCCATGGCTGGGGGCAGGATTTATTCTGGGGCACAGGGAGCCAGCGAAGGGGTTAGAACAAGAGCAGCATCTCCTGCTGTCAGGTTTGTGGGCCCCTCCTGTGGGCTGCCACATAAGGACAGATGGGAGGGTCAGGAGGGAGACCGAGCCTGAGAGGAGGCCTGAACTTGGGCTCTAAGACTCTTCCAGGGCCAGGTAGGGACTTTGGGCAAGACAGGCTGGCCAGGGCTGATTGGGTCCAGACTGAGGGGGTTGTTAGGAGGGGGAGCGGGGAGATTCTCTAGGTCAGGTAAGGGCCCATTCAGCAGAGAAGTTGGGGCTGTGGTAACCCCCAGGCCTGTAAGTGATCTCTAGATCTTGGTTTCAAGGGACTCCCCTGATAAGTCTTAAAGTAGAGGTGCAGGATAGAGGCATGAGAGTGAGGACACTTCGAGGCTTGTCTGTTCTTTCCACATGGCCCATGAGTGCTTGCATGGATGGGTAAGTGGGGTTGGGTGGATGGATGGACAGATGAATGGGCAGATGAATGATGGATGGATAAGGGGATGAATGAGTGGAAGGATGGATGAATGACTAGATGGATGGGTGGCTAGGATGGATGGGTGGGTAGATGGATGGATGGATGGATGGATGGATGGATGGATGGATGGATGGATAAGTGCATGAGTAGGTGGTGGATAGCTAAGTAGATGGGTGGAAAAGTGGGTGGATGGATGGATGGTCAGGTGAATGGATGGATGGATTAATGGGTGATGGCTGGTCAGTGGGTGTGGATGGGTGGATAAGTGGATGAGTAGGTGATGGGTAGCTAAGTAGATGGATGGAAAAGTGGATGGATGGATGGATGGGCAGGTGGGTGGATGATGGATGGATGGGTTGATGGACGGGTAAGGGGGTGAACTGGTGAATGGATGAATTAATGGATGATTGGTTGGTGGGTACATGAATAGGCAGATGAGTAGGTGGTGGATGTTTGGATAAGAAAGTGGGTGGTTGGACGGATGGATGACTGGACAGATGGACAGGTGGATAGGTGAACTGATGGACAGGTAGGTGGATGAATGGATGGATCAATGGATGATGATTGGGCAGTGGGTGGTGGATGGATGGATGAGTGGGTGGGTGGATGAATAAATACATGGGTGGGATGGGAGGTGGATGGGTGCTTAAGTAGGTGGATGGGTGAGTCATGGCTAGGTGAATGAGAAGCAGCAGCCAGATAGGTGTCCAGGAGACACAGCTGGGCCAGGGAAGGAAAGAGGGCTCCCTTTGTGCCAGGCCCAGGGAGGGCACTGCCTGCCTGCACCTCGTTCAGCCCTCACAGCACCTTGGCAGCAGGCTCTGTGAGTGCTCTCACGCTGCTGAGGCTCAGCACGGTCAAGTGCCTGCCCGCGGCCCCACAGTGCCCCACCAGCCTCCTCAGCACCGTCTGGCTCCCCTGCAGCCCGTGACCAACCACAACCCCTGGATGCTGCTGTACTTCATCTCCTTCCTGCTCATCGTCAGCTTCTTCGTCCTCAACATGTTTGTGGGCGTCGTGGTGGAGAACTTCCACAAGTGCCGGCAGCACCAGGAGGCCGAGGAGGCGCGGCGGCGTGAGGAGAAGCGTCTGCGGCGCCTGGAGAAGAAGCGCCGGAGTGAGTGGGTGACGGCAGAGGGCATGGGGGTGCCCCACCTTAGTGAGTGGGTGACGGCAGAGGGCATGGGGGCGCCCCATCCTAGTGAGTGGGTGATGGCGGAGGGCATGGGGGCACCCCATTCTAGTGAGTGAGTGATGTTGGAGGGCATGGGGGCGCCCCATCCTAGTGAGTGGGTGACGGCGGAGGGCATGGGGGCACCGCACCCTAGTGAGTGAGTGATGGTGGAGGGCATGGGGGCACCTGACCCTAAGCCCCCTCTGCACACTGTTGCTGACCCAGTGCCGGGACCCAAGTCTGGCACAATCCTAGACTCCTGGGCCTTTGGAGCCGACAGGGAATGGAGGATTCAGCCCCTGTGCCCAGCCCAGTCTCTCCTCCCAGCGTCTGCCTGTCCAGATGACTGGGACCTCGTCAGTGTCTGCCCGCCTGAGGGAGGTTCCAGGTGGTTCAGTCCAGGCATCGGGCAAAGGCAGAGCCTGGCCACCTGGCCCTGGGCCATGATTCCCTTGCTGTATCCTCAGCAGAACTGAAGCCCTGCTATGGGCACATTTAGGGTAGATGGGGTGCACCAGTGTTCTGCCCTCTCCACCAACCTCCCCCACATATTACCATTCCCTCTTGGTGCCCTGGCAAGATGGAACAGACCTAACTCTGATTCCAGGGCCTGGGGTGGACCCGCATTCCCCGGCTTCCTCCCTCCACTCCCTCCTCTCTCCCTTGTGTTCAGTTCCTTTTCCCTGGGCCCCGACCCTCTGTGATCTGTGCCACCCCCACACTCCTCTGCAGAGGCCCAGCGGCTGCCCTACTATGCTACCTACTGTCCCACCCGGCTGCTCATCCACTCCATGTGCACCAGCCACTACCTGGACATCTTCATCACCTTTATCATCTGCCTCAACGTGGTCACCATGTCCCTGGAGCACTACAATCAGCCCACGGTGAGCCCTGGCCTGCCTCCCAGGCCGGTCACATGGTGAGAATGGGGTCTTAGCAGGACCCCACTTCAGGGACAGGGTGAGGCAGAGGGCTAGCAGTTTGTAGGATCTGAGCAACCCCTCTGTGCTGAGCCCTGTGCTGGGGCAGCCCTGCCCTCAGGAAGCTCACAGCCTGGTAGAGTAGGTATGGGAAAGGGAAAGGTCAGAGGGGAAGAGTACTTGTTCCTGGTGGGTGGAGGAGGCAGTGTCTGGGCCGAGCCTTGAATCTGAGTAACAATGGTTGTGATGTGTTGAATATGGACTCCTTGGAAGGCACACTCACATGTAAACTCTTTAGTCCTCACAGCAACTCTAAGGTGGGGAGGAGCTTTGTCCAATTTTATAGATGAAGAAACTGAGACTCAGATACCCTCCCAATTACTTAGCCATAGATACGAAAGCCAGGACTGGAAGTTATTCAAAGCCTACCATGTAGTCTCTGCTACTAGCCGAGCATATGGAGACTCAGGGGAGGGCATTCCAAGTAGCAGGAATTGTGGTCAGATTGGAGGTGGGAGAGGGCAACCAGTTCCCATCTTATTGCAGATAAAGTATGTGAGGAGAGGTGTGTGTGAGGGGCTAGGGCATTCTCAGAATCTTAACCTCATGGAATTGAAAGGAAGGATGAGGGAAGCAGAGCTTCCAGGTGTAGAATTAATAGCTTATTTCAAATGATAGAAGAGGAATATTATGAATGAAAGAAAAAGACAGGCAACCATTGACTGAATGAAACAATAATTCTACTTCTAAATTAGTGAAAAGATATAGAATAGTAATAGCTCACATTTGCCCAAGTATTTATTCTGGGCTCAGCAATGAACTATAAGTTCATTTAATTTCCACAACAACTTTTTGAAGTAGGTACCATTACTTTTCCCAATATATAGACTGAAAAATAAAATCAAAGAGAGGTGAAATATTTGCCCAAGGTCACACAGTGAATAGGGAATAAATTATAAGCCAGGATTCAATTCTAAGTAGTCTGGTTTAGGAGTCCTTAACCACTACCTCATACTGCCTCCAAAAAGGAGCCATTGGACCAAACCAGAAGAAATAAGGAAGATAAGGAAAAGAAAAAAAAAAGTACAAATGAGTATTACATGCAGAATAAAGTAAATACATACATCATTTCACTAAATATGAATGGGTTAAATTAGCCACCTAAAAGACAGATTTTTGGGCCAGGCAGGTGACATGGAGGTTAAGGCAGCTGGATCTCACATGGCCAACTATGCAATTGGAGTCCCAGACCCAGCAGTTTGATAAACACACCAGGCGTTTGTGTACATACACCCAAAATCTTGAGAGGAGAATGGAAAAAGGATTGCAGTTTGGCCATCCCCCCAGGATAGGGTGATTTCTCACTTTTTTTCTCTCTCTCTAGCAAGCATATGTACCCTACAGCAAAACTAAAAAAAAAAAAAAAAGAGAGAGAGAGAGAGAGACTTTCTGACTTTTCTGACTTGAGGGTGGTTGGGTAGGCAGGTCACAAGGCCTGAATCACACTTTCTTTGCTCCCTGTAGTCCCTAGAGACAGCTCTTAAGTACTGCAACTACTTGTTCACCACTGTCTTTGTGCTGGAGGCTGTGCTGAAACTGGTGGCATTTGGCCTGAGGCGCTTCTTCAAGGATCGGTGAGTGGCTGGGCTATGGTAGCATAGGGTGGTCATCAGGATGGGGAAGTGGTCTTGACCGCTGGAGAAGCCTGAATATCCATAAAAGCAGAATAAGTAAGCATCTGGGAAGTGATAGCAAGGGACCTTGGGTGCTGCCTATAGCTCTGTAACAAGTGATGAGGTCTCATTCAGTGGGTACAGGGCATTTTACCAGGTACTCCATACCCATAATCAAAGCAGGTCTGTCTTATGTTAATCTTCCTTTTCAGAAGGAACAGGAGAAGCTCAGAGAGGTTGATTAATCAGCCCAAAGGAGCAGGCGGTCAAGATTTAGATCTAGAAGCCATAGTCCAGGCCTCCTCTCCTGCAGCAGGACATGGACACTTATTTAGCCAGTCAAGCCTTACCTGGAGAGCAGAGGCTACTGGAGGCAGACCCAGTGGTATTTGGAGGGGGTGGTAGGGAGGGTGGCCATATAGCCCAGTGGGCCACAACAGGAGGATGAAGACCTGGGAGCCTCCCTCAGCTAAGGTGTGCCTAAGCCAGAGGGCTCCTTCTGACCGGCTGCTGCCCTCCCGCTGCTGAGCAGGTGGAACCAGTTGGACCTGGCCATTGTGCTGCTGTCAGTCATGGGCATCACGTTGGAGGAGATCGAGATCAATGCGGCGCTGCCCATCAACCCCACCATCATCCGCATCATGCGGGTCCTGCGCATCGCCCGGGGTGAGGGCAGGGTGGGGATGGCACTCCCCATTGCCCCAGAAAAGACAGGAGTGGAGTGGGGGGGGTGCATGGTATGATGGGCTCCCTGCTGAGCAGAGACCAGGAGCCCAGAGGAGCCACACAGCTGACACACAGTCGCCTGACTCCCACACCCACCTGCCTTCGTCCCGAGACAACTTCGCACAGCACACATGTGTGCACACCCTGTGGTCTCAGGTCGCGATGGCAGGAACCCAGTGCACTGGGGAGCTACAGAATAACCCCAGTGGCTGTGGCACTCCCCAAACACTGTGACTGAGACCCGCAGCCCTCAGTGCTTCTTAAACTCCCCCTTCTTCTCCCAGAAGCCCCTTCTCACCGCAAGGTTGTTCCTACACTTCTTTCACAAACCTCGGCACAGTGGCGTGTGCCCATAATCCACTACTCCGGAGGCTGAGGAAGGAGAATTGTGAGTTCAGGGCTAGTCTGGGCAACAGCAAGACTGTGTCTCCAAAACAAAAGCAAAAAGAAACAAATGCTCCTGGCTCATTGCTAGCCCCGGGGCCTCTTGCTCTCATCCCTGTCTCCCACCCATTGTCACCAGATTCTGAAATGGGGAAGGGTGTGCAGAAACAGCCTGGGACGCCAGTGTCCTCTTCAGTGCCAGGGGAAGGAGATGTGGACGGCACTGGCCACATTTGCGTTGTTACAGTGAACCACGTGCTCATTCACATACTTTATGTCCCTCGCATCCCGCACACGCCCCCTGGTCCTCTTGGACTGTTGTACACCGACATGCACACCTCGTGTTCACCTGCCTTTGTGCACACTCGTCTCCTGCAGCTGCACCACTTCTTGTGTGGCATCTGAGAGCTGGACTCTTGCTTCCTCCACCTCTGTCCTCTGAGTTGACACATCTGGGCACACATGCACAAATAGACATGCACACCCATATGCACACACTCACCCCATGGCCTGGCTGAGTGGGCGGGGCTGGGTCTCGCCCGCAGTGCTGAAGCTGTTGAAGATGGCCACGGGGATGCGGGCCCTGCTGGACACGGTGGTGCAGGCTTTGCCCCAGGTAAGAACTGCTCCTTTGGGAGCCCTGCCTGGTGTCATTGGCATCAAGCTGGGCTTGGGGGACACAGCCCCCACTTCCCTTCTCCCCAGACCTGCTCAGAGCCAGGGCAGAATCCCATCTCTGGAGAAGCAGTTGGAGCCAGGGGCTGTGAGAGATGAGTGAAGCCGCTCGCTGCCTGGCTTGAGGGGTCACGGGTGCCTGCTCCGTATCTGGCCCTGTACAGGCATCAAGGACCCACATAATGGCCTGGGAGCCCCGAGGCTGCTGGGGGCAGACAAATGCTTCAGGGCTATGGAGGCGGGGTCTGCAATGTGATCCATAGAGGAGGAACGTGCAGGCACTCCTGGGGAAATCCAGGAGGGGGTCCCATGAGCTCAGACCTCAAAGGGGGACTTGGCAGAAGGAGGTGGCAGTGCAGGTGCAGCGGTATCCCATGTGGTATCCCAGGAGGGGCAGCATGAGACCTGACCTGGTGGGGAGCCCAGAGAAGTCAGGGGAATCCCTCTAAGGGGAGATATGATCAGGGCCACAGAGCGGATGGTTTTCTCCTCCCAAGAATTCTGTTATCCCCACCCTTCCCTCCTCCATAGTCCTGACTGCTGGAGGCTCCCTTCCTCCGCTTCTGGGGTTTTGAGGTGAGCTTCCATTTATTCACTGTGATTCATTTAGTTTAAGGAACTCTAGGCACAGATGTAGCACACAAAGAATTAGGACCAACAATTAATCGCCCAGGGAAGGTGAAAGCAAAATGGATTCTCTGAGAAACCTGGTTAAGGATGTCAGTGAGTTTCCTAGCAGGCTAGTTACAAAGAGAAAGTAGCATGGCGCTCATCATATCTGGATGGAAAGTCAGGGTGTTCATTCAGCACATGTTCATTGCAGACTGGAAGTGGATGGAGCCTCGACTTGAGGCGTCGCTCTGGTCATGTCACTTAAAATCCCTGTGCCTCCGTCTCCCTGACTGTGAAATGGGTGTGATGACCATGCTTGTTTCCAAGGGCTGCCCTGGGGTGTCGGATAGTTCCGGCTTCCAGAGCACTTGACAGGACCCAGTTCATAGGCAATGCTGTGTAAGAGCTGCTGAGGACCAGGATGGGTGAGACACGGTGTGTGCCAGCCGCCTGGCCTCCTTGCCCCCACCTCTGACCCTGACCTCCTGTGCTGCCTAAGCCAGTGCGGAGCTGGCACAGGGCACACGCGATGCTGAGTCCCGGCCTCAGGTAGAAGGCCAGGGATAGTAATTACAGAGATGGCGGCATTCCAGAGAGGCCTGTGCTAGGACCATGTGGCCGTGAGGGGTGGCCTTACCCCTTCAACTCTAGCTGACACCCACGCTGTCACATGGACATCGGGCCTGTCCTCGGCTCTATGTAAAATGCTATGAAATGAAACTTCGGACCCTTCCCACCAGGCTCTGCCCCACACAGAAGGAGTAGACGGGGCGGGGGGGGGGGGGCTTCTGAGAAGAGGTGGCCCATGCATTCAGCTTTGAGGGAGGGGAACAGAATAGGCGAAGACACTTCCCATGTGGCTGGAACTGAGTTGGAAGACAAGGTTGGGAGAGGTACCAGCAGCCCTCAGTGCCAGGCAGCCAGCTTGGGCTTATCCCCCGGAGGGCTCTGGGCAAGGGAGGTCTGGAGCAGAGCTGCCATTTCGAAGGTCACCCTGACGACCGAGGAGAATGGGTTGGAGGGAGAGGCAGGCAGGGAAGCAGGAGAGGAGGCCGCCGTGGGCTCTGAGGCAGCAGGCGTGGGCTGAGGAGGTAGGGAGGGTGACCCTGGGTGGGGATTGCCGCCAGCTCTGAGCCTGCTTAGGGTTGGGGCTGAGCTCCCCGGGCTTCGTGTTCGTCCCCCTCGCTCTCCGGGCCTCCCTTTGCCTCGTAGGCGCTCGGTAAGGGCTTGCTTCGTGACTGAATGGGACGTGGGTCACTAGCCCACTGCTATCAGTACGGAATGATGGGGAGGAAGCCCCCCGGAGCGGGTGGGCGGGCTTTCTTCCCAGCCACTCACACGAACGTCTGATTCCCTTCGTGCAGGCCCGCAGAGGGTGCTGAGAGGTATTTCATTTCCAGGGCCGGAACGTGCGTGAGCCTCGTCCTGCAGCACGAGTCCGAGGCACCTCTGTAGGCTTGAACTGGGTTTGGAATCTGGGACGTTTTCTCCCGTAGGAGCTGTGGGATGCGGGTGGCTAGGACTGCAGGAGGCCTCTGGGGCCCATAGGCCTGCACGATTCTGGTGTTCGCTCTGTCTGTGACCAGACCCGTGCAGGCCTGTGCAGTCAAATCCAACTTCATCCTGCTGCGTCCTGTTCTTGAGGACCAGAGGGGACAGTGACAGGGACGTACCAGTTATATTTGTTTCATCAGATTCCATTGCAGTCTGCCTGGATGAATCCAGGGGGTTTCATGGAGGAGGTGGCATTAGTGCTGAGCCTTCCTTCCTTCCCTCTCTCATCAATCCACGGGACCTGACTAACCACACAGGCATGTAGGACAGCAATCAGGGCGTAGGCCCTGGGGCACCTGCTAGGATTAGACCCCATCTTTCTGCCTACTGGCTGTGTGACTCTGGGCAGGTGCCTACACCTTCCTGTGTCCCATGTCATCCGAGGGCTGGAGTAGAACCACTGTGGGGAGCGTGACGTGTTTGAGGCAGGGCAACTCATGGTCCAGGCTTCACAGGCCTTTGACGATTCTGTGAGGTGAGCCGGAGCCTCCTGCCCTCCAGGAGGTGCCGGGCCTAGACCCAGCTGCGAACTTGCTACAGCTGCTCTGGCCACCTGGCTGGCCTGTGTGGAGGCTGGGTGCCCCATCTCACCCACTCTCAGGCCTGAGCCCCCTGCCCCTACCCTCCCCGGGCCTGGGCCCTCCACTCCTACCCTCCCCAGGCCTGGGCCCCCTCCCCTATCCTCCCTGGGCTCCCTAGGCCTGGGCCTCCACCCACCCCTACCCTTCCTAGTCCTGGGGGTCCACCTCTACCTTCCCCAGGCTCGGGCTCTTCAACCTTGTGCTCCTTAGGCCTAGACCCCTTCACCTCGCCTTCCCCAGGAATGGGCCCCCCACTTCAGCCCTCTCTAGGCGTGGGGTCCCCACTTCCACTCCCCAGGCCTGTCCCCCACCCTCCCCAGGCATGCCCAGCCCCTGCTCTCCCGCAGGTGGGCAACCTGGGCTTGCTCTTCATGCTGCTCTTCTTCATCTACGCCGCGCTGGGAGTAGAGCTCTTCGGGAAGCTGGGTGAGCACCCGAAGCAGGCTGGGGCGGGACAGGCTTGGTCCTAGGAGGTGCCCAGCAGCAGGGCCCGCGGGAGGCCCTTAGCACACACTTCCTTGGTGTGGGAGAGATGGCGGCCGGGTCCCTTTGCACACACCAGGCCTGTGTGCTGCATCCCAAAGCCCCCCAACCCTTGTGCTCCCAGAGAACCCTACCCTCCACCCTGGTGCCCATCCTGAGCCAAGGCTGCCCAGCAGGGGCAGAGGCCGGGTGGGGGCAGAGGGCAGCCCTCTCCTGGCGTGGGGATTCTGGGAGGAGGCGGGGAGCCATGCAGCCAGGGTGCAGGGCCGTCCTCCCATCCCCCAGTCTGCGATGATGAGAACCCGTGCGAGGGCATGAGCCGGCACGCCACCTTCGAGAACTTCGGCATGGCCTTCCTCACGCTCTTCTTTTTTTTTACTGGAATGGGATCAGAAAGGTAATGTACGGGCGGGAGGGCAGCGGAGGAGGGAGATGCGGTGCCGGTCCTGCCGCTCAGGGCTCCCCGCTCCCGCTGCCACCACAGAGTGCAGGGGGTCCAGAACAGTGGAAGGATCTGCCAGGGACCCCGTGGCACTCCAAGATGACGCAGAGGCCCAGGCAGGATGGTGTCCACAGCTGCTCCAAGCCTCCCCAGGCCTGCCCTGGGAACCAGGGAACAGGACCCTGCCCAGGACTGGCGAGGACAGGCAGGGCCAGCTGCACCAACCAAGTCCCGCAGAGGTGTCCTGGTCCTGGCCCATTGCCCAGCCTGGACTGCCAGGGAGAGGCCTCCCCACTGACAGGCCAGCGTGGTTAAGATGGCCCTGGCAGTGGGGTGGCCAGCTGGGTGGCAGGAGAAGCAACAGGGTGCAGGCTTCCTCAGCTTCCTCGGGTTGGGACTGAGCTGGCCGGGTCAGAGTGGGGGGCTGGTTCCCACAGCCGTGCAGGAGTGAGGGGCCGAGCGAGCCAAGGGCCAGGCCAGCTGGAGTCTTGTCGGAGCCCAGGCAGGAGCCGCCAGGAGCCAGAGGGACCCGGGGCAGTCGGGCCACAGTGGGCTGTGAATCCCAGCTCTGCCACCTCCCGGAGTCTCTCCAGTGCCTCTGCCGTGAGGTGGGGGCGGCCGGGGCAGGCGGGGTGGCGCCGGCCCTCACCCTCCCGCCTGCAGGACACGCTGCGGGACTGCACCCACGACGAGCGCAGCTGTCTGAGCAGCCTGCAGTTCGTGTCGCCGCTGTACTTCGTCAGCTTCGTGCTCACGGCGCAGTTCGTGCTCATCAACGTGGTGGTGGCCGTGCTCATGAAGCACCTGGACGACAGCAACAAGGAGGCGCAGGAGGACGCCGAGATGGACGCCGAGCTGGAGCTGGAGATGGCGCACACGCTGGGCCCCAGCCCTGGCCCGCGCCCGCCCGCCAGCTCTCCCGGGGCCCCAGCCGGCGCTGCTACTCTCCAGCCCAGGTGGGCAGGGCCCAGGGGCGCCAGGGAGGGCCTCACAGGGCTGGAAGGGCCGGGGCAGTGGGGCCTCTGTCCCCCTCGCCCCGTTCAGCGCCATAGCAGGGGTGACCTTGTGACGAGGGGGTTGGTCCCATGCCGTGGGTGCAGAGACAGGATCTAGCCGATAATCCCGCCTGTCGCCACCCCGTCCCCGTCCGCCTAGGAGAACCTGTGGCTGGACAGCGTCTCTTTAATCATCAAGGACTCCTTGGACGGGGAGCTGACCATCATCGACAACCTGTCCGGCTCCATCTTCCACCACTACTCCTCCCCTGCCGGCTGCGACAAGTGTCACCATGACGACAAGCAGGAGGTAAGGGCCGCTGGCCTGGTGCCTTGCTGCTGGCCCTTGGCCACGGCAGGTGGTCTCCGCTGGCCTGGGCTGCTCGTCTGTCTCAGGTGCAGGCCTGTGGTGACTGCGGGAACCATGAGCCCGGGCACTGCCGTGCACAGTGGGTGCTCAGAGAAGGCTGTTGGTGCCAAACAGCAAGCCCTGAGCGGCTTCCGGTGCAGTTTGTCCTTCCTGCGATGGATGGGATCATCCTGGCCTGTTCCTCTGGGGCCATCATCCTAGCATAGGCCCTGAGCCTGGGGCCAGGCCATGGTGTAGCCATTCAGTGCTGCAGATTCCTGGCGCCCATGGGACTGCCCGGGGCATGCGTCCCAGCCCAGAGGCTTGAAACAATGTGCTATGCACACACGTGCCCAGGAGCCTGATGAGATGGAGAGCGGGAGGGAAACACCCTGAGCCTCCTGCAGGCATCCCCGCCCTGACCCCAGCCTCCAGCCGCGGGGAGGTTCCAGGCCGGTCCACCTCTGGCACCGGCTCAGGCTGTCCCTCTCCCCGGTAGTGTGGGCTCCTGAGCTCTCTCCAGGCTGTCGCAGCCCCCAGTGCCAGGTGGCCATCAGATCCTGAGGAGCTGGAGGTCTGGTGACTGCAGATTCCCAGGGTCTCTGACCCTGTGACATGCCATGTTGGGGTTCTGCATGGGCCACAGAGGATCCCTGCCTGGACAGGCACGTGATCTGAGGGCAAGCAGACAGCTTGGCATTCATGGTCATGGTCACATGCCTGCCTCCTGGCCCTAGCAGCAAGGTGGAGCTGGCTTCCATCAGAGGTGGCCACTGTGTCACCATTGTGTCACCCAGGCGGGGCTCTTGCACCTCCCTGTCTTTTCCGAAGATCAGGCCTGGTGCAGAGCACTCGGCCAGGCCTGGCGCCCTCCCGGCCCCAGGGGTGACCCAGGGCCCGCCTTCTCCTGCAGGTGCAGCTGGCTGAGACCGAGGCCTTCTCCCTGAACTCAGACAGGTCCTCGTCCATCTTGCTCGGAGACGACCTGAGCCTCGAGGACCCCACGGCCTGCCCACCTGGCCCCAAAGACAGCAAGGTGAGCAGCCCCAGTGGGTCCCTGGCTCCTGACCTGTCCTCACAGCCTGTCCTCGGCCACACAACCAGGACCCAGTAGCTCCCCGCCCGCTGCTTAACTGGTCCCGTTCTGTGCAGGCCCGCCTTTCCTGCTGGGTAGTGGAGTGCAGGCCAGAGAGGCTGCATTTACCTGAAGTCACTGTGACAAGCCTACTCAGGGTTTCAACCACTGCATCCAGTTCCCTCCAATGCGTCGGGTATTCGCAAGCCATTCTGGGAGGGCTGTCCATGGCTGGCCACCCTCGAGGGGGGCTGTGGGTTGAAGACACAGGGGAGAGGCAGGAGGCCTTTCTCTATGCCAGGTGCTCTACTGCAGTTCAGCCTGTCTGCCCACAGCTCTGGGAACCAGGACAGTGTGGTCACTCTGAGCAGTGAAGTGACACACCCACATCTATGGCTGGCAATGACAGAGCAGGGAAGCCAGCCAGGGCTGGTCCCCACCGTCTGTCTCCCAGGGGGTCAGTGGAGAGGCCTGGAGGGCAGGAAGGACCCCTGGTGGATCCTGCAGGCTCAGGAGAGATCTGACCCAGGCTGATGGCCCTGAGGCCAAGGTGGTCCTGTCTGGCTGGGGTTGGGGGAGGGGGTGGTGGGGGAGCTGTGGGTGGGGAGGAGAGGGAGACCTAACCTGAGGCGGGGACTCAGTGGCCCTGCTCACAGAGAGCCTCTGGGGACCACTCAGTGGCACAGCAGTAACACGACGTTCCACGAGGAAGTCCCCCATCGCAGGTTCCCAGTTCCGGGCCAGCAGGTAGCGTGGAGGTTAAGGCAGCTGGATCCAACACAGCCCACGGTGCGGTTTGAGTCCCGGACCTGGCCCACCAGGTGCTCTGTGTGCCCAAAATCTCGATGGGGGACTGGAGAAGGGATGGCAGTGTGGTCATTCCCCCCAGAGGGTGATTTCTCTCTCTTTCTCTGTGTCGCCAGCGAGTGTATACACCCTGTAGTAAACTTGGGGAGAAAAAAAAGAATGTTCCTGGTTCAAGTCCAGAGACCTCCTTGAGCACAGCAAGCGCGTGCGTGCCCATAAGCCAGGGCTAGCAAGGCTGGAGGTGGACTGTGGCCCCCGCTGGGGATGCTCTCTCTCTTAGAATAAATAAATACACTTAATTTTTTTTTGAGAGCATCTGTCCCCTAGACCCAGGGCAGCCTGTGCTTGGCACCTCTACTCCCCCAGGACTGTCTTCAGCTTGGGGCAGGTTGGGGTGGGGGAGCAGACCTTCCCATCCCCTCTGTGGCTCCTCAGGCCCCTCCCTGACCAGCCCCTTGGATCTCATGTGGCTCTCCTCCTCGGGGGGTGCTTTCTCACTTTCCTTCTCTGTTTCTGTCTGTCTCTCTCCAGCAAGTGCATGTGCCTCATAGCAAAATAAAAAACCTAGAAAACAGAAAAGGAAGGGCCTGCACAAGGGCATGCTTGCGGGAGTCTCCGGGGCCCACTTGGCCTGTCTGCTGAGGTCTTCATTGTCCTGGGCGGGGGCTGCACCAGGCGCTTGGTTACAGAGATAGGGACAGCCCTCCCCAGCTCTCAAGGAAGTCAGAGTCAAGAGGGGAGTGGCCAGGGATACCACTGATGGGACAGTCAAGAAGTCTTCATGGAGGTGGGGCCCTTTCCCCTGGTGCTCGTAGGTGGCAGGAGGAAGGGCATCACAGGCCGTGAGGGCAGCCCGAGCGAGAGGCTGGCAGCAGGGACACAGCAGGATGGAGGCCTCAGCCTCCTGGCTCCCTTTCCCTGCAGGGTGAGCCAGACCCGCCTGAACCCGTGCGAGTCGGGGACCTGGGTGAATGCTTCTTTCCCTTGCCCAACACGGCTGTCCCGTCGGGCCCAGAGAACTTTCTACATGAGATGGAGACGATCCCATTCCACCCCGTCCGGTCCTGGCTGAAGAGTGAGAGCGGCCAAGGTGAGGGGCGGGGCCGCCAGCTGGCGCCTCCTTGGTCTCGGTCAGCGTCAGGATGAGCCGTCCAGCGTTCCCCTTAGCGCTTTTGCCCAGAGTACTGTCTTGCATCCAGAAAGAACCAGGTGGATCTCTGATAAGAGAGAGGCTCTCAGGCCTGACGCAACAACGATAAAAGATCAGGAGTCAGGGCTGGCTCAGTGGCAAGGCAATACGCTGCTTCCATGTGGAAGTCTGTGGGTTCAGTCCCCCAGTTGGTCTGTACATGCTCGGCACATGCTCCATGATCCTGACTGACTGGAAAGGATGGCAGAAGGAAATCATGGTATAAGATCCTTCTAAGACCCTGTTGAGGGTATTATCACCCTCTCTCTCTCTCTAGTTCTCTCTCATGAAATAAAAAGTAAAAAATATTAAAGTTCAGGAGCCAATTAACACAAAGAGATGAGATGGTTTTAATAAAAGCCTGGACTAAGAGAAGCGTTCTGCTGAGTTTCCCAGGAGCTGTGATGAAAAGAGAAAGAGGTTTGACACATAGCTCTCATCAGGCAGAGAGAAAGCTGCTAAAATCCGAGGTGTTTTCTTCGAGCTGAATTTGAGAGGCATTTGTCTCACACACCCTCACACAAGGTGATGTTGATCACCAGGAAGCCTGGCGTCTTTAACATTCCTTCCGTGAAAGGTCTTCACATCTCTCCTTGGTCCCAGCCCCAACATCCTGGGGCAGGGGACTGAACTGTCCTGTCCACTCGGGCTTACCTTTGCCGCATCCTCTCAGACGGTGACAGGAATCTGATTTCCCAGCACTGACGGGGGAGGGGGACAGACAGATGAGCCCAGAAGAAGAGAGCCCACCCCAGCTGCTCCCCGGGGATGTCTATGTCGGGCACCTCCAGGACCTAGGGGTGGGCTACCTTCTCCAAGGCCCCTCCTTAAAGCTGATCACCTCTCAGCTGGACACTGGCTGAGGGGCCAAGACCCCAGACTTCCTGAACAAAATCTGGGGCACAGGGTCTGACCCAGAGCTATTCTGACGGTCTGTACCCGACCCCTGTGAGAGCTGTTTATCTGCACTCTCCTTAAGCAACGATACAGTATATATATAGCACCGGGGTCCCATCGGGTGCTCAGTCGTTGGACACATCCTTTATCCTGTCCTCATCCTGAGGGCCAGGGCGGAGGCTACACCTGGCACCCTGGGACCGGCCACAGCCCCGACTCCTGACCCCCCCTCGCCCCTGCCTCCCCAGCAGAGCCAGCCCGACAGGAGAGCTCTGCCTGCCCTGCCCACCCTGACCCGGCACTGGGAGCCCCTCTGGCTCTGTCCTGGAGTACAGGGGCCGAGTGGCGACTAATCCTAATGGCACTCACTGGGTGCCTGGCCAGGAGCCTGCAGTTGTGGCTCATTCTGTGCACCATGGGGGCGGGCATTTGTCCCTCTACAGAGTGGGAAACTGCAGGGTCTGCACTGCAGCGGGGGTCTGTTGGCTCCAAAGCCAGCACCCACCCTAGAGGGATACGCGTCGGCTCAGTATTTCTGGCTCTCATGATGGGGAAACCGAGGCTCTGAGGGGGACTTGCTCATGGTCTCACAGCTCATGTGTCATGTCACCCCGAGACCCTCCGAGGGCTTGCCCACAGCCCACACCTGCTCGCCAGCTCTGTCTTCTCCCTCCCCGGCAGTGCCCCCGCGCCCCTTCTCCCCGGAAGACTCCAGTCCGCTCCTGCCCATGCCAGCTGAGTTCTTCCACCCTGCGGTGTCTGCCAGCCAGAAAGGGCAGGAGAAGGGCACCATCGCTGGGGCCCTCCCCAAGATTGCCCTGCAGGGCTCCTGGGCGTCCCTGCGGTCGCCAAGTGTCAACTGTACCCTCCTTCGGCAGGTATGGGCACCTCCAGAGCGGTCCTGTTGGGGGGCATCTGAGTCTTAGCAGTCCCTGTCATTCAAGGACTGGGAGGGGGAAGGCCTGACCAGACACTAGGGTGACAGTGCAGGAGCTGGGGGAAGTTGGGGGCAGTGATGCTCAGGAGTGAGGGGGGGCCATGCCACCAGAGACAGGCAGCAGCAGGTCTTGGGCACCTACTGACAGCAGAGGGTGGGGGCCCAGACGTTGGGGAGTCCCTCAAAGAGGGTTTATGGGCTCTAGCTTGAGGGGTTGTGGAGGCTCTGTGGGGTGCAGGGATGCTGGGGCTTAGGAAGGGGAGGGGCTCGCTTAGTAGAAACAGAGGTGGAGGGGCAGGTCTGGGAGGGGGAGGTCTCTTCCTGAGGGTCCCTTGGGTTAGTGGACTGGCTGGGGCCACAGCCCCCAACACCCCCAAACACACAGTGGCCCATTGCAGACCTGGGAACTCTGTCCTGTGGGTGGGGAGAGGAGCCCCTAGCCCCCACAGTGCTGCGGGGTGGGGTGGTGGTGGGCTGGAGGACTCCTGCCGCCATTCATTCATGCAGTGACTGTGACTGTGTGCGGCACACGCCCGGGTAAGGGCTGGGCCAGCAGGTACACTTCCCCACCCTGTGCCCAGGTGCGGCCTCAGGCCAGGGCCTGTCCTCACAGAAGTACCAGCCTATCTCCGGAGGCCACCCCGACAGGGCAGGCAGGGGCTGCAGGCCTTCCTGAGCCTGAGGAAGAGGTGGAGGGCTGGGCGCCAGGTCAACAGGAGGCCAGGGCTTTGCTAGACCGAGCCTCCGGGGCCCAAAGGGTCTGACAAGGGAGACTGGTGTCCCCGGAGGACCTGAGTAGGGGTGGGGCGGCACAGCCGGCTGGCCAGGGCACCGGGTTCGGGCCCCAGAAGCTCCGTGCAGCAGAGGGGCTAGGCAGGGGCGTCCCGGGGGCTTCCCGAGCGGGCGGAGGGGCTGCCCGCACACGTGGGCAAGGCTGGGGGAGGGCGCCCACCTCCCCCTGTCGCCCCGCAGGCCACAGGGAGCGACACGTCGCTGGAGGCCAGCCCCA